CACTGTTAAAAATTTAATTTTAATCAGCATCCGCTCGAAATACATATGGAAGCCATGGCTACATCTGCACCAATTTCAACAAACCGCAATAACGACATTCAAGTCTCAATTTGTGCTAAAATTTCGTATTAATCGGACAAACATTAGGACTTTGGTGCACCATTTATGTAAAATCGGACGAATATATCGAAATCTGAACCGATTTTTCCGAAACTTACAACATATCATTCTAGACTCAATTCAGTATGATATGCCAAATTTCGTGCAAATCGAAGGATATATAGGGAATCGGAAGAAAATATATATGGGAGCTATATCTAAGTATGAACCGATTTTCACGAAACTTAACACACATCGTTCTAGACTTAATTCAGTGCGCTATTCCAAATCGAAAGTTATATAGGGACTTTGGAGCACCACTTACACAAAATCTGACGAAACTTACCACTCATCATTCTAGACTAAATTCATTACGCTATGCTAAATTTCGTGCAAATCGAAGGATATAAAGGAATTTTGGTGCACTATTTACATAAAATCGGGCGAAAATACATGGGAGCTATATCTAACCCTCATGTTTCTAGACTTAATTCAGTACGCTATGCCAAATTTAGTGCAAATCGAAAGATTTCGAAAAAATCGGACGAAAATATATATGGGAGCTATATCGAAATCTGAATCAATAGGGTTCGTCCTTGGGCCAAATAAATGAGTTGTGCCAAATTTCATCCAATTAGAATCCAAAATGCGACTTGTACAATTTAACATGGGCAGACAGACGGACGGACATTCTTAAATGTTACAAACATATACACAAAGACATAAATTGTCCTTCTTAAGCTCATAAATGCTCCTTTCTAAGCATAAACAAAAAATATTTTAGATTTCCGAAAAATATACTTATATTGGCTGCACTACGCTTCTAGGCAACCCCTATATAGGTGCATATGTATCCTTTACACTGAATATACATATCAAAAATACATTTATTTATTAAAAACAAAGATTAAAGTGATAAAACTAAAATTTAGAAAAATCGAAGCCAAAAGTAAAGAAATCCTTTTTTTAATCGAGTTTACAGGGCATGGTCAAAGGTGCCCCCTGTGTAATTTTACGGAAATTTGTAATAATTTGTGTTTTTAGGTAATATATATGAAAGAAATTACATTATTTTTGTTTGAAATGATTGTTGGAATGAAAACAAATTGTTTATTGAAGCAAAACGACTACTAAATTCTTTCTGCGCCCTTACAAAAAATAAAACAAGAAATATATAAATGTTTGGGGTAAACTCAGCTTCTGAAAATTTCCAGAAAATTATGCTTTCGACATGACCAAAGGCGTTAAATTATATTGATGACATATCGTGATTTGGAACACGCGACGAAGATCATGATACAGCTTTGAAGTCTGTCCTTGAAAGTTTAACCAAAAATGTGTATGGAAGACTTGACAGCAAATGTTCGTGGGACACGTACGTTCAGCAGAGGGATTCACTGCGGACCACTAGAAAGCCAAAGTTATTCAAGACTTTCGAGCCCCAGAATCGAAAGAGGAAGTGCGCAGTTTCTTGGGCTTGGTAACAATAATTGGAAAATTCTTACCAGCTGATTCATTAAGAATACTTCTTACAAATGATGCAAAATTCGCCTGGAGCCATAGACAAGAAGAAGTTATTGTTAAATTGAAAAAAATGTCTTCCGAAATACCAAATCTTTCATACTTTGACCCAAAAAACACGGGTAATAGTATGTGCAAGCCCGGTGGCTTTAGGAGCCATCTTTTAGCTTGGTCTGTAGAAAGGTTATATTACTACCTAGCTGGATTGGAGTTTGAACTTGTAACCGACCACAAAGACATAAACTTCAAGGGGCTATTTCGAGTATGGGGAATGAAAAGTGGCAGTCTAAATCATCAAATCCTCATTATGTCTTCGGTTTGAATTGTCAGCAATTGACCCAATCTTGTTACGGGGAAGTCGCATCGTAATACCAAAAGCGTTACGACCAAAGATGTTAGATCTGGCTCATGAAGGCCACCCTGGTTAGTCCGCAATGAAACGTCATCTGCGCTCGAAGATCTGGTGGCCGCTAATAGACAGGAAAGCAGAAAACTTTGTGAAAGCTTGTCATGATTGTCTTCTTGTTTCGCAACCTAATAATCCAACACCAATGCAGAGACACCCATTTCCAAATGGTCTCATGTTTAACATGGTTTACTTTTTTTTTTTATTTTTAATTGATTACTACTCTCGGTATCAGGAAGTCGTATTCTTAAAGTGTATAACCTCAGATGCTATAATTAAATCTATGAAGGAAATATTCTCAAAAATTGGAATACCGAAGTCCATTAGAACCGTCAACGGGAGACAATATGACAGCTACGAAATCAAATCCTTCTGTTCAGAAAATAACATACCTCTTATCAGAACTCCTCCTTATTGGCCACAGGCAAATGGTGAAGTGGAAAATGTGAACAGGCCCTTGGTAAAACGATTGAAAATAGCTGCTGCGAACAAACATTACAAAGAGGAAATTCAAAAATTCCTTTTAATGTATAATGTTACGCCACATGGAACTACGGGCACAGCCCCCAGTGAATTAAAATTTAAAAGGCGCATTCGTGATAAAATACCTGGTATTGAGGATCTATCTGAGGAAGTGATTGATTCGGCTGCTAAAGATAATGATTTGATCTCAAAAAAAAAAAAAAAAAAAAAAACGGGAAAGAAAAGGCGGACACGGTAAGAAATGCAAAGGAATCTTTCATCCAAGTAGGGTACAAAGTATTGTTGAAAAACGTAATTTTCCCCAATAAGCTCACTCCAAATTTTGATAAAACTGTATACGAAGTGATTGAAAGGAATGGCATAGAGGTATGGTGAAAAAGATTCCGGAAGCTCAATTTCCTCAATATTTTCCGGATCAACAAAATCCACATTCCTATCATCACGGAACCACTTCCTGACATTGCAGAACCAGCCGACCACCAAAAATCAACCATTATTGCCGTCTCTGTCAACACAACAACGGAACTGATGTCCCTCATGACCAAGGACCATTGAAGCTAAGACCGAAAAAGGTTGAAGGGATGTGGCAACACTGATTCTGCTATCGATAACATTAGTTATTCCGATTGAATTTAATCGTTTTTGATATTTTAATCTTTGATTCTTATTAGTTGAAAACTGGCGAATTCCAATAAAGTTTAAGTTTGTTAATTGTTTGTAAAACCCAACCAACCCGTGTTTCATTTTCAAAATACGGGTTATTACACAGGGTATTTTTGGCTTTATCTCAAAAAATTTTTTATTTCACAGTGACAACGCGATGAGTTTGATTATCCAATTTAAAGGAATAAAACCAGTAAGGAAAGCAGTAAAGTCGGACGGAACAACTTTATGAAACCATTTAATAATGAACATATCATTGTTTGTAAAACCCAACCAACCCGTGTTTCATTTTCAAAATACGGGTTATTACACAGGGTATTTTTGGCTTTATCTCAAAAAATTTTTTATTTCACAGTGACAACGCGATGAGTTTGATTATCCAATTTAAAGGAATAAAACCAGTAAGGAGAGCAGTAAAGTCGGACGGAACAACTTTATGAAACCATTTAATAATGAACATATCTTGCATTCTATGGACAATTCTAAGCAACTTTGGTGAAGTAACCACAGGTCTATCTCGATAATTTTTCTCAAAAAATAGACGAATAATAGTTAAAATATGTATGAAATGCCCTCTGGCGGTGCTCATAGGTAAAAATAAAGAATTTCTCAACCCCAAAAGCCCCCATATACACATAAAAAAGATAATATAACGATGAATAAAAAATCGAATTTTGAATCAAAACAATGGTATAGGGAAAAATCTGGGGTACTCCCTTTTTGCACAATGCCTCCCATATGACAGTTCGTCTGATGGTATCGTCATTCTATACATTGTTCTATTATGACTCTTGGGGTGTTGGCCCGGTCCACGCAGCTTCTATTTTGTCTAAAGCCAGCTTGTTCATCTCTCAGAATGTTTTCTATTTGACCTTTAATTATTTTCTGTATATTTGTTGCCTGAATTGTCTATATGGTGTTGAACAGGGTTATTCCTCTCCAGTTGTTACAATCTTTCATGTCGCCATTTTTGTGCTACTTCACAACAATGCCTTTCTTCTTCCCAAGAAAAAATTATGTGAGATCGAAGTATCTCAGATGTGTTTCTGCCGTCGGCTTTTTAATCTATGTTAGAATATATTGTCTGTCTATTATCCAAAATAACATGCGAACGGACTTACATTTTAGAAAAATGTATTTATTTAATTAAAGTTTTCTATATTGCAAATTTGGAAAATAGTACAATGTATTATCTCCGGTCCATACTTTTTGATTGGTATTATAAAACAAACAAATTTTTTATTCTCTTCTATCCTATTTTTTCTCACGCACAAAATATGGCCAACAAGAAGAAAAAGTACATACCTTGATTGACAAAACAGTCTACAGAAAACTGAAATAGATGCCTAAAATAAAAAGTTTATATCCATTAATATTTGGACATATTCTTTATTAGTTTCCACACCATCCACCATAAGGTGGAGTGTATATTAAATTAGTCATTTCGTTTGCAACACCTGGAAATTTTCCCCGTAGAGTATATATTCGTGATCGGAATACATTTGATTATAATATACGTTATGAATATCCGTCTTTTGAAATAACGATAGATATCTGGTATTGAAAATTGGATATACCGGTCCATGTCTTACGGTACCCTCAAATATTAGGTATTTTGATTTTTAGCTCTTTTTTTAACTTGTCTATTATTCTCATTGGATACCTTAGTATTTGTTTTCGGCGTAAGCAAACAAATACTTAATTATCATTTACATTTAATTACAAATATGCTACAATAGAGTACAGGCTTAACAACTCATAAGTTCTAAACTGAATTTTGTATGTGGATATAAACACATTCCTTATAATTATATATTTTTCATTACAGGGGACAATCCTGCCGCCATGTACCACGGACATGTTGGTTCATCAACAAAATCATATCAAATACAGCTACTGCGAATTGTTTCGGTTCTATGTTACATCTCCTATGTTAAACCAAATTATTGTTGAAATAAAAATGTTGTATATAACGAATTAATCTTAACACGTAGCATTTAAGAATAGTTAGAGTTAATCCAGTATCAAATTTATGTTGTATCTGTTTTTCTTAGTTCATTATTAAATTGTAAATAGTTTTTTTAAGGGATCGATTATTTGTAAACCACTTACACTTCTATTGTACAAAATATTTTTAAATAAAAACAATTTCTAAATTTGGAATATATTTATATATGTTCCTAGAACAGGCAAATTTGAATAACCAACAAATTAAATTTTGCCGTAGATCTTCAAATAAAAAAAAATGTATAAAAATACTATAACCATCTAACATTTTAAGGATAACGTGTAGTCTATTTAATAAAAAATAAATGGTAAGTCATATTTGTACATCTCTATCTTCTGTTTCCTTTTATTGAATCTACATTCCCAACTTGAATTTTTCAAAAGAAAAAAGTTAATGATGACGTCCGTATAATATTTTATTTGCATTATTATATTGAAGGAATTCATGATATAACAACCTATATTTATTGGGAATAATACGAAAAATCAATAGTAAAGGTATAAACAGTACACACATGTGAAATAATATATATTACCGCACCTTCTTCATATGTTGTTGAAAAGTTTTCTATTGCAATTCAAGAATTTCATTTGTAATTTAGATTATTTTAGAAGTAAATTGGGAATTCAATTAATAATTCAAATATTAGGGTATTTATATTTTGAAATGTGTAGGGTCGGATTTAATATTCGGATCCTTTTAAAATGGCTGACGGTCTTCTCACGGTTTTCCATCGTGATGATTACACTATCCCATATCATGTTATTCTTTTGCAATGTAACAGTAATATTAAAATTAATTCGATCAGAACTTTTAACATCTTCTGAAATCTGTTAATATATTTGCATCAAATCAAATCTGTTGATGTTTAGAAAATACAAATTTCTCTGTTAACATGTCTTAAAAAACTTAACGTCTTCAATATATATTAATTTCCGAAGCCAGTATGAAAAACCAGAAAAACGTGTCGAAAATTTCTTCTTCTTTTCACAGTTATATATAATAGACAACAAGTAAGAAAGAATGACATGCTTGATAACCACAGAAACATGAAATAGTCGCCTAGAATACAAAAAATTAGAACCGCTACACAATATAAATTATGCATTTCCACAGGTTGAATCACGACAGATATTTGGAATTGAAAAAATCGATAACGATATAAAAGAAAAATTAAATATTAGAAACATAGCAGATCTAAATAGCGTTTTAAAGAGGAATGAAATGTTCGATTAACCGGATATTATTCCATCCTTAACGTATGATTTCGGTTCTAGTAGCTAAGGTTAACCGATTTCATCCAAACCTTGGGCATTGTAATATGTCTACCAAAACTAGTTCATGTTCGAAGATCGGAAGGAACATCGGTCCACTCCTTCTGATACCTCTCCCACAAAAAAGTCAAAATTGTGCTAAAAAAAATAAATTTATAATATCATTCGATCTGACTATCCGATTTTAAGCAATCTTTGTACAACCTATTATCTTTAGTCAAGCCTATACAAATTTCAGGCGAATGGTAAGTCAGATTTGAACCAAACTTTGTACAACCTATTATCCTTACCAAGCCTAGATCAGGTTCGAAAATAGGACGCAGTGGTCCACTCATTCTGGTAACTCCTCCACAAAAGATAAACATTTGCAATACCAGGCGCATGGAATCTCCGATTTGAAGCAAACTTTGCACAACCTATTATCATTATCAAGCCTAGATCAATTCCAAAAATGGGACACATTGGTCCACTCCTTCTACCCAACAATGGGTAAAACTTTGCAATTTTTATAAATCCAATACGAGGTGAATGAAATGTCCGATTTAAACCAGACTTTGCACATCATATAACCATTACCAAGTCCTTCTAGTGCCTCCCTCATAAAAGCGTCTGAAAATGCCAAACTGGATTTTCTGGAAATTATGGGATGGTTAGCTGTTGCTGGGATGGTTAGGAGTAATTTCACCTCGGAATAGTTATGAAAAGAAAAAAAAAACAAAAAAGAAAAAAAACAAGGGTTTTTGAAAAAAGAATTTTCCAAATAATGGAGGTTTATTCAATGAAATTCGGTGTAAAATTTGGAAACGAGATCATTATTTACAATTGAGAAAAAAGGAACAACCAGTGGAAAACAGAAAACATTTAGTTATCTGAATCACGACGTCTGCGACTCTATTCAGCAGGGAGAGAGGACTGCCATCAATAGTGGATCAACAGGAACGAGAATCGGAGAACCAAAAGGAAATGACCAGGAGTCGGAGCTACGAAATCGGAATGCTCGCTTGAAATCGGGAAAGGAGGTCACGAATTTAAACACACCTCAATTCTTCAGAGCAGTGTGGAGAATATTCTTCGAAAGTGGTAGTCCGCGAACTTACGGAAGTGGGTTTTGAAGCTTTTGACTCTGGCCTCCCAGAGGCCACTTATTTGAGGTGCCCTAGGTGGAATAAAATGCCAGTTCAGATTCTGAAGAGAATATTGAGAGATCAAAGCCGAACGCGAAACATGAATGAACTTTCCAGCAAGAACTTTGGACGCCCCTACAAAGGTCGTACTATTACCGGAATATACTTGGGAAGGGCATCCTCTCCTAGAAACGAACCAATGAAAGGCTGCTAGGAACGTGGCGTCGACAGGTCGGAAGTAAGCACAAACAAAAAACAGGAACATGTATACGTAATCTTACGTGCGTATGATAGAAGGGTCCTAATTGGAGCCGAGAGAAATTACTCCGCAACTGAGAAGGAATTCCTAGCCATAGTGTGGGGTATTCGGAAGATGCGCCCCTATTTGGAAGGTTATCACTTCAATGTTATTACTGACCATCTATCATTGAAGTGCCTCAACAGGCAGGTTGGCACGCTGGGCCCTAGAGCCACAACAATACACTTTTTCGATTCAATAACTATATAAGCCCCTCACTGCTATTTTTAATATTTCGCTATCTACAGAATATTTTCCTCTGTTCTGGAGATCTAGCTTCATTATCCCCTTACATAAGTCTGGTAGCAGAAATGTTATTGAGAAATATAGGGGTATTGCGCCATTCCAAAACTTTTCGAACTTCTAGTATCACGTAGAATAATTCATTTCGTTTCGCCAATAATTTCACCTTGTCAACATGGTTTCATAAAAGGGAGATCCACTTTAACTAATCTGATGGAATTAACATTCCATGCACACTATGGATTTTCTACAAAGCAACAAACAGATGTAATTTACACTGATTTTAGTAAGGCGTTTGATACGGTTTTACACAAACTTTTATTATTTAAATTGGACGCTATGAGTTTTCCATTCAAAATTTTGTCCTGGATTTGATCCTACTTGCAAAACCGTACTCAAAGCGTGCCTTATAATCATATTTTCTCTAGCCATTTAGGTCCATTATTATTTGTGTTATACCTTAATGATCTTCCATCAGTGATTCAATTTTCTAAAGTGTTGATGTTTGCTGATGATGTAAAACATTTCAGAAATTTAGACTCACAAAATCAAGCCCTTACTCTACAAAATGATTTGCACTCTCTTGAATACTGGTGCAGTATTAACGATATGTCAATGTTGTCAATGTTAACGACAATGTTGACTCCTTTGTTTATCTTGGCGTTATCATAGATGATAAATAGCGATTTAATTGGCATATTGAGTCATGCGTAAATAAAGCCAAATCTTTACTAGGATTCATAAAACGATGGTCTAAAGAGTTTGACGACCCTCATGTGACAAAACGTTTATTTGTTAGTCTAGTTCGGCCTACATTAGAATATGGATGTGTATTGTGGAGTCCGTTTTACAGTTGTTATTCTAAAAAAATCGAATCTGTCCAAACACACTTTCTCTTATCTGCTCTAAGAGGTTTGCCTTGGAGTACAGTTGAGGCACTCCCCCCTTATGAAAATCGTTTAAAAACTAATATCTTCCAAGACTAGAACGAAGACGTTTAATGCTAAGAAATATATTTTTAATAAAACTTTTACGCGGTCAAATTGACTCGAAAGTTTTAATCGGTGAAATCAAGTTTATCAAGTTTAACAACCTGTATAATTACATTCTATGTTTAGAACTGTAGAGTGCAAGCAGTTGCTAGATGTTTATGTTTGTCCTTATTGTTGTGTTGAATTAACTTTAAATTGTATAACCGGCTGATGTTTACTGTAGCCGGGGTTTCTCAACATTACTAACCCTCCATAATCCGGATTATGGGGTGCACGTTCTCCCTACGTTATGGGGAGGAGGCCCCCTGGGACGGCAGGGGCTGGTAAGAGTGGCGTGGAAACGATCAAAAAAAAAAACAAAAAATACAGGAAGGGTGGCTGCAATGTTGTTGTAGATGCATTGTCACGGCAACCATGGAAACTTTGTGTGCCCGAACCCCATAGACAACGAATACTACAGGAAAATTATAGGCAAGCGTCCGCAGCTCATATGGGAATACGTAAAACAATCAACCGCATATGCAGCAGATATTACTGGCCGGGAATGACAAGGACATCACCAGATTCGTTCGGAGCAGTGAATCCTGTCAACGCTATAAACCGTACCAGGTCGCTCCGTCAGAAGAAATACTGGGTTCTTGGTTTTCTTCGATCGTTTCTCCAAATCGGTGGAACAGATACCACAGAGAATAGTGACTGCGGAGGGGATAGTGAAGGCGTTCCGCGAAAGAATCCTTGCTCGCGTTGGAACCCCAAAAATCCTTATATCGGACAACGGAAATATCCCTGCACCACCAGCTAACCGCATGCCCACAAGAAAATACGAAAGAGCCAACAGAACGGTGAAGACAATGATTGCTCAGGTATGCCGGATTAAGCACAATCGGTGGGACGACTTCTTATCGGAAATATCCCTGGCGATAAATACGGCGACTTCTGAGTCGACCGGATATAGTCCTGCCGCGAACCTAGATTGCCGAAAGCACTATACGACGAAGCTGTCCCTGGTACGGG